AGAAGAGAAAAGAAAAGAAAAGAAAAGAAAAGAAAAGAAAAGAAAAGAAAAGAAAAGAAAAGAAAAAAAGCAACTATAAATATGTAGTGAGTACTTATTTATGTGCAGGCACTGTCTCAGTCCAGGAATAATACAGGAAGAGGAAAAAAAACTTCCTGCTCAATCCCTCTGTCCTGTTATCTCCAAATAAGGCCTTAGCATCATTTCTAACTTTTAAGCTTTAAAAATTTATTAATTTAAGGTGGGTTTTTTTCCATTTCCTGTTCAGGAAAACCTAAGATGAAAGAACCCAGACATCAGAGGAGCCAGACTTGCCTTCTTGTAGATCCTTTCCCCAGCGCCCTAGGAATTTATCTTTAACTTCTCTCTTTGTTTGTGGGAGGGAAAGTTATTATTTCAATGCAGGTGAGAAGGCTTCCACAAGAGGATATACTAGAGTGGCAACAGTGGGGCACAAGGAGACAGCATAGACATTGAGGATAAAACATACTTGGGGTCATATTGTAAAGGACATACAAGGCATCTAGAGGTCACTTTCTGGTCAATGGAGGGCTGTTCAGGGGCTGGCTGTCTGGTCCTCATTTGTCTATGGATATAATTCTGAAATGAATTTTCCCAGTGGCAGGTGATTCACTGACTTGAGTAGACTCTCCAATAGGACTTCCTGCAATGATGGAAATGTTCTATAATGCACCTTTAGTGGAGGAAACTGAAGAGTTACCTGGCAAAGGGTATGCTTCCAGAAGAGATTAAGATTAAGGGCCAACAGTCCAGTCTACCTCAATGTCCTAGATTGTGTTATCCAATAGGGCAGTAACTAGCCACATATGGCTACTGAACACTTGAAATGATTGGTACTGACAAACTAAATTTTTAATTTTATTTCATTTTAACTAATATAAATTTAAACACATTTGTGGCTAGTGGCTTCAGTATTAGACAATGCAAGTTTAGAAAAATCTCTATTCTTGGTTAGCACTATCTAATAGAAATATAATAATATAGCTTAAAGTTTTTAGTAGCTATATTAAAAAATTAAAAAGAAAAGTAAAATTATTTAAATAATATGTTTTATTCAGCCCAGTTATGAAAAATATTATCATTTTAATATTTAATCTATTTAAAGTTATTAATGAGATCATTTACATTGTTTTATGAAACTAACTCTTCAAAATATGGTATATAGTTTACACTTAAAAGCACATCTCAATTTGGATGCTAAATTTCCAATGGTTAACATGGAATGTATTCCTACAAAAATAATAAAGTTGTGTTTAATAGAGAAGTACTTTATATTTTATATTTGCTTCCATTTTTAAATTTAAAAATACACTGGTTTACATAAAATAACATTAAAAATGTCCTTCCTCAGCACACTTACCCCATATCAGAGGAAAATACAGCTCCAGACAAATAAAGAACTAACAAAATTGAGATGAAATATTAAATGAGTTGATCTTGCAGTGAGACCAAGATAATAAGTGTGATGAAAGTTGACACTATTCAGACTGAGATGCTGGTATTTTCTACCAGAACAGAAGTGGAAAATGAAACAACATGCGGAAATGGAATTTCCCCATTTCCTGTTCACTTTTTCATTCTCTAAGTTACTTTTTTAAGAGGCTGCAATATTTCCATCATGGGAATTTGTCCCATCCTGCTCCCACATGTTCTCCCTGCCCTGGCTAGGAAACTCCTCCTTCTCAATGCAGAATTTCGGTGATTCAGCTCAGCTAGTGTTAGATCTTAAACATCATTTTGCTTCACCACCATATCCTTAGGATGACAATCCCCAGCCTCCACAGAGCCAAGCCATAACCACTCTGACTCATCTTACTTGCATCTCCTTCCCTCTTTGTTCAACTGGATAAACAGCTGTTAAGAAGTACAAGAGTCCTATACACTCCGGATCTATTTCCCCCTCTCTCCACACCCCAGCTCAGAAAGTTCATACGTGAGAAGCTCTGCTTGTCAGAGAGAAATAATGGAAAAAGTGGCTTCCGCACCTATATCCAATTTTCTTCCCATCTTACTTTCCCAAGTCACAATAATAAACTGTGAAATGTCAGAAGGGAAGACGGGATGTTACTTCTAGAAGGGCATCCTATCCCTCAGAGTTTGAAGAAATCAAGAGTCTCTAACACATGCAATGCACATCCTGTGAATGTCGTCCATACCCAGATGCACAGAAGGCTCCAAAGGGATGTGGGAACTTCTATTAGGGAACCACTGCCAATTGTTTGTTGGAATAATGTTCCTTGGAAATGAGAGACTGGCCCCCAGACACTAGCTGTTAGTCGGCCAACTGACACACTCCAAATTTTCTATTCCATTTCTGGACAGTTGAATCTTGTCATATGATATAAGGGCTTTCTGTAGGGCATTCTTTCTCCTAATGGACCTCAGGTGCAGAAGGTTGAGTCAGCCATTTCCCCCAGTTCATAATATTCTATTATTGTCTATTGTCTTTGGTTTAGGTAAGTCCCACTCATTTATTTATTTATTCATTTATCCATTCATTCACTCATTTTGATATGTAGGTCCTTTTTTTTTCCTTTTTATCACTTCTAAATCTCTCCCCTTCATAGGCAACAACTACATGCTATTTAATATCTTCTCTTTTTTTAATATATTATACAAGATGTGTACTTTTCTGTTTGCATGTATTTTTAAACTAAATAACTGATGTGTTCATTTTATTTTGTATTGTTTATTGCATTTTTTTGTTTTTCACTAACATATGTATGTTGAAAATTCCTCTGTGTTGCCATGTGTACAATTTATCTGTTGCTTGAACTGATATCAGCACAATATCTGTGATGTGCACCCACCACACTTGACCCATTCACTGTCCAAAGGAGGGGTAATCAAACTGTCTCTACTCATCACACATATAATTCTGCAATGGAATTCCTCATAATGAACATCTCTTATAAACACAAAGTCCCTCAACAATATGTCTCTGTAATCTGTCTGGTGGTCCCACTTTCTACATACACAGAGCTGATTCCATTAGATCCTCAAATTTTTAATTCCTTCCTCTTTGCCTTTGCACACACAAAAACCTCATAACAATCTCTACAGAAAACAGCTTATGATAGCTTCCTGCATTACTTTATTAAAAAATGCATATTTTCCTGTTTCCCAATAGAAACTCAAGGATTTCCTAAACAAAAAGTTGGCAGATGAAGGCCTGTGGGCCAAATCTGGCCTATCACCTGTTTTGGTATAACCACAAGTTTAGAAGGTTTTTACAAATGAATATTTGTATTTAATTTGATAAGAGGGAATGCTAACTTTGAACCCTAGTTAAGTGATATGTTATCCCCCCAAAATTATTCTTTTCAATTATACTAGTAAACTTATATTGTAAAGCATTTGTACTTGATTATTATTATATTTTGAATTTTACCATTAAAGTTTTTGTAGAAATGTACTTTCTTTTGTGTTATATAATATCACCTATACTATACAATATCGTATATACATATATTACATATATACATAATAAGCAATAGATATCACAATAAATAAATATATAGAAGTAACACATTGCATGTCTTGAATTTACATTACACATTAAATTCATTCAATAAAAATGTGCTTTCCTGCTTATTATATAATATCATATGTATTATCCTCAAATTATCCTGTTGGCCTACAAAATATAACATATTTACTATCCTTCTCTTTAAATAAAGAAGTTTCCAACTGCCACACTAACAAATGCACAAGAGAACCTGGGTTTGAAGAATGCTAGAGAAGAGTACAAAGGTGTGAAACTTGGCCCACTTCACTGCAGGATATAGAATCCGAGATCTAGGGAAAGACTGTGAGAGCCAGTGACAAAGCCGCACCGCCCAAGAGCACAGCCACAGGTTTGCAGCAGACATGGTCAATTTACTCCTTTCCTGGCCAGATGGAGACTATAAAGTCGGAAGCAAGACAACCTTCTTTGTACCAGTTCTTTACACTGTCAACACATAAACTCCAAAAATGGCAGGCACCTTGCTTTCTTCAGGGCAAAACACATGCAATGAATTTTTATTAGCCTAATTCTCACCCATATGCATGGCTAACCCACCGTGCAATGTTCTTTATGCTCCCACCACCTGTGCCGTTGCATGAGCTATATAGGTCAGAGGCAACAGGACATTGTAGAAGCTTTGCAAGATAGGAAATAAGAACTTGAGGATTTATCCTTCTACTGAAATGAGTGGCCTTGTCTATTAAGTGATTTAATCTACCAAGTCCTTGGTTTTCTTCTCTATAAAAAATGGAAATTATGCTACGTAGCTACTTCCAAGGTTCATTTAATGACCCATATAGTGCAAGCATTGATCAATCAGAAAGTACGTTGGCCATGAAGAGCGGGTAAGCCGTACACACCAGACATCCATAAACTGTGTGGGTACTAAATGATAAATTGTGGTCATGTGTTCAGCACAGAGCCTACAACATAATAAGTGCCTCATAATTTTTGGTATGATTATAATGACACATTTCCTTCTCTTCCTTAAAAACTATTTCCTACCTTATTTATTAAAATGCAATGTATTTCCCAGTGTCAAATATTCTATTTCTTTATTTTTGGAGATTTTCGCAATAAATAAATGGGCTCTCTTGAAATAAATATTTGGAAAGAGAACCGCCAATTTGTCATGATTGGGAAACATTATCCTTTGCCCACAACATGAAAAACCATAATTGGCAGTGAAGATTCTTGCCAGAAGCAAATTAAATTAAAGATTTGTAGGCCTTAAAGTATAGCTAACTTAGAAGAAAGGG